TTGATGCTTTCTCTCAGCTTACAACAAGGATGCAAATATTAGTCCTATTTTTGAGAAATACTTCCACAATGAGAAGCTGGTAATGAAGAGTTCTCCGCCCAGTCCATTTCACAATATGGGGAGGGAGGGAGGTGGAGTGAGTGAGTGAGTGAGTGTGTGTAAAACCCCTTGTTCGAACCGAGAACATTTCGTTAACACTTCCCACAGATACTCTAACTAGTTTTCTTTCATCTCTTTTTCTGAACAATATGCTTAACGTAGACCAAGTGCTGAGCAGCTAGTGAGAATCGAACTCACAACGGTAGTAATGAAACTAGCTTGCTAACGATTATCTCCACTGCGAGAAACCTGCCGTCGATAACATAGGTAAGAATACAGAATTCCAAAAGCTAAAAATAAACTACAAGTGATCAGTCTATTTTTAAAAAAATTGAAAATATAGAAAAGTAAATAGAAATTTCAACCATCTGATAATTCAAATTTACTTTTGTTAGACACCAATATCATATATCGATTGCATACCACAAGACAGCCCTTTTTACGGAAATTGGTGTCAGTTCTAAAATATTTTATTTACCGACTTTCAACGACGTCCAGACGTTTACTATTTTTCAATCTAAGTTTAGAATTTAGAAGTAAACGGCAAAACTTATGGTTACAAGCTTCGCCTGTACTGAAAATAAAGTTCTAAATTAACATCTCGCTTTCATTCGCCTCGAAGCAGTCCAATTAGTCTTTTGGGCTAGAATTCGTATGTTATCCTTCGCTCTAAGATAACCCACTAGATCAGAAGGCTATATACCTATGACATGAAATATATTTCACTCTTTATCGAGAAGAAACGCATAGACTTTGCTTCCTTTCCTCTGGGCGCGCACAGCTAGACCGAAAAGAGAAAGTATTCGCTCTAAGTGAGGAGAAAATATAAAGTTTTTTTATATGCATATGTATGAGGGACTTGTAAATTAGATAATTCAGTATTGCTAACCAGTTTTAGAATGCGTAAAAAGCATTTTTAAAATATTTATGACAGCCAAACTGACATCCTGGTACATACCGGAACTTGAATATCAACCTGTGTGTGCGCACACACACACACACACACATATATATATATATATATATATATATATATATATATATATATATATATATATATATATATATAATGTGTGTGCGCGCAAAAAAAAAAAAAAAAATAGGAAAGAACACGTTAGGTAATAAATCCGGAGTTCTTTTGTATTTTTTGTAAAAAAAAAAAAAAAAAAAAAAAAAACAGTGCTCCATACAAAAGTAGAGCTTAAATTATAATTATTTTTTTAAAAACAATACGATTCCTTCGCTACATAAGAGTTCTCATGTTTCAAAAACAAGAGCCACATATGTAGCAAAAGGATCATATTTTGTAAATATATATATATATATATATATATATATAAGCAATGCAATCCGTTGGCGTTTTGTGAACGAACTAAATTATGTAGCGAAACAAAAATGTTTGAGAGATTTACATATGCAAATTTATCATAATTAAACCTGCTAGTTTTAAAAATTGGGTAGGCGTTTGTTTAGCATATTAGATTTATTAGATTTGCAAAATAACCCATTAAAATGCCAATACTGCTTACTTCCTAAGCTTACTCCTAAGCTATGTTCTAAATATTTAACGGGTTACCACTTCATCTGAACTGCATTAGTTAATTCCCTTTGTTACCAAGCTGTGTTCTAAATGCAAAAACCTTTACCATTTTCAGAGTAGAAAAGTGTATTGTAAATAAGTATAAGACAAAACAATCACTTATTTATAAAGATGGCAAAAGACCAGAATTCAAAAATTTAAAAAAAATATCAGTTGAATTCTTAATTTTAATTTAATTCTGAGTTTTTAAATTAGACGAGATATAAGATATGCTGAAAGATACAAAAAGATTAAAACATTTATTATGCACAGCTCCAGGGTCCATCACCACCCACACAGGTAGCACCTCACCTATTGAACTAAGAAGGAGAGAATTAAGGTTAATCTCCGATACCAGAAGATTACCAACGAGGAAATGCCGAGATCACTGAGCAATCTTATTACCAATCCCATGTAGGCGTGTTATTTCCTTTCAACCAGGCCTTATGCCATATTGGGTTCCAGTGAGCGTGAAGATTAAATATTAAAAACCGCATTTTACTGTTGTCAATATTTTTAGATAAAATTTCCACACACAAGTTTATATATAAATATTCACCTTTTCGGACGGGCACACAATCTGTCGTGTCCATATAAAAAAAAAATGCATAAATAAAAATGTTATTATACTGTTACTGTTGTGTACATAAATAAAATTTATTTATAGCGCCAAAATAATTATAAAATAATTATTACAATTAAAATTATCAATTAACTCTTTCTAAACCACTGACAATCAACACCACGTTTCTCCTCCACACGCACACGTGACATTCTAATTATCGGACAAGCAGTCGATACGGACAGGCCATCAATGCGTGCGTCAACGAAAATTTAGACTCCTTTTCATTTTAAGGCCTTAATGGTAACATATCTCTTGGTGCTAAACGAAAAATCTAATTAAGAAATCACCAGTATTTTTGTATTTTCCAACTAAATTATCTGGACACTCATATAACAAACATACGAGAAAGACTACAAATCTTTCTCGTATGTTTTTATACTCAAAAAAAAAAATAAGACACGGTTAGCTTCAAAAGAAAAAAAAGGTATATACATTTGTCTACAGTATTACCGGCCATTACAGAATATGTATATTAAGCCCTATTCTGGGTCGTACAATGTTTCTGATCTGCATGAATGAACTTCCTCATGTCATTAGTTCCCAAGTATGTATTTATGCATATAACACTACCATTTACTCCTGCCTCAATAGCAAATCCGTCAGAGCTGATAAAATAAAGCTGGATGCTGGCCATGAAAGATATCCAATCAGTGGTTAACTGGGACAGGAAATGCATTGTAAATTTTAACGCCTCCAAAGCCAAACTGCTCATTTAATCACCATAAAAAAACTATTCTGCCTGCCATCATCATGGCTGACGCTAGATTCCTGGAGAGCAACACACTGCATTGTTGGTCTTACGTTTTTCACTTGCAGTGGACTCACTACATCGAATCAATAGCTATATCTACTGCGAGAAACGTTTGGTCACTGTGTCGTAGCGGAAAATTTTTCTCCTCAGTTCATTTTACACATTTACAGATCTACTATTCGCCCGTGCATTGAATACTGCTGCCATCTCTGGTCGGGTGCTCCTGCTATTCATCTCAACGTTCTTGAAAAAAAAAAAAATCCCAAAAAGGATCTGTAATCTAATCGAACCTGACTTGTTATCACGACTTCAGTCTCTTTCTCACCGACGCGACGTGGCTTCCCTCTGTCTTTTCTATAAATGTTTTTATGGCAACTGCTATGACGAGTTTCCCCCCCACCACTCCCTAGTGCCCCAACTTCATGAATTTAAGTCGGCCACTAGATTGGCATCTAGGTCCCACCGGTTTAATGGTGAAATAACTAAATACAACCGCCACTTCTACTCCAACAGATTCTTTTCTCGCACTTCTCACCTGTGGCACTCCCTTCTGTTTACTTGCTTCCCTGATAACTTCAAAAATTTAAATGAAACGTCAATCGCCTTATTCTGTCTTCTTGAATCCCGTTCCTCTTTTGTCCTTTACTCAGTCCTTACTATACTCAGTCTTTTCTCTCACTTTCACTGGTTCTTGTAAAGATCGAAGATAGCTGGAGGAGTCAAGTACTTACTTGAGCTGTACAGGGGACCGACAGTTTTCTCAGCATATTTAGCGATGGATTTTATGTACAAATTCCACTTGAGGTCTAGGTTAAGCTTAAGACCTAATAAGCGCTCAAGGCACGGAGCCTGCCCGTGAGAAGATTCGTTTCTTGCGATAGGAGAGAAGTAAGGGTCCGCCCGCTGATGATGAAATGGAACTAGTTTGGTTTTCAAAGCATTGAATGTGACCAGTTTTTCCCTACCACTGAGCTGCTATGGCTCAGTCAGAGGAGAGACCAGCTACCTGGCTTTGGGCATGTAGAATTTAGAAGCTTTTACATAAAAAATTTAAGTCGCTATTTATAAAGTTCCTGTGCCTTCAATAACATCTAATGTGTTTGTTTATATTTCTGAGATGAGGTATTATGTACATTATTCGGACTATTAGCCTCATCTTTGTCGCCATATTTATTACAACGTTTCGGCCGTTGTACGCTCCGGCCTTCTTCGGGTGGTTGGAATGTCGAACTGAACCCTTTATTTCGCTCACTGGGGTAGACTGTTCTAGTTCCATGTGTCATGTCTAATGGATGTTAGTTATCAGTTATCTTCTGTTAATTTCCCTCTGAAAGTTCTCCACTGCCTTAACCGGGTATTGAACTCACACGCTTTGGGTCCTGTCACTGGATCTAACTAACGCCTTTATCCACTGTGATCCAGTGACAGGACCCAAAGAGTGTGAGTTCAATACCCAGTTAAGGCAGTGGAGAACTTTCAGAGGGAAATTAACAGGAGATAACTGATAACTGACATCCATTAAAACATGGCAGGTGGAACTAAAACAGTCTACCCAATTGAGCGAAATAAAGGGTTCAGTTCGACATTCCAACCACCTGAAGAAAGCCGGAGCGTACAACGGCTGAAACGTTGTAATAAATATGGCCACAATGATGAGGACAACAGTCCGAATAATGTAAATAATGAACATCCAATGTGTTTTTATATTAAGGAATTCATCATTATGACAGATGCAATGCCACCAGATTAGATTAATGCCACTATAAAATCCGGTATTAATAAAGGTTTCCTTTTACTCATTGAAAATCGCAATCATCGGATGGTCGTTAGACATTTTTATTAATTGGTATTAATTTATTTATATTTTTCCTTCTTCCCAGTCCTTTTCTTTCCTTTAACCTTCCAACAGCTTCTTTGCTTCCTTCTTTTTCATACTTGCCTACTTTCTGAAACACCAATTCTCCTACGATCACCTAAATTAAGCAACGTCGAGCCTGGTCAGTACCTAGATGGGTGATCGATTGGGAATACCGGGTGCTGTAAGCAGAGGGGTTCGAACGTTCGCTTTCTGACCGGGAGACCTGGGTTTGAATATCGATTTGACTTCATGATGTTATCGGTCAAAGGGGGCGATCCCAGCATGCAGCAACTTTGGAAAGTACCTGAGAAAAAAAAAATAAATAAATAACCATATCACGCGTTGACCCAAGGTGAAATTGGGTAGACGGAACACTTGGGAGTCGTCGGTGGTTGTGCTAGCACGAAATTACAAGTCATTGTGACTGAGGGTTTGAGCGTGCTAGCCTTGTTCAGACTGTTGATCACACTAGATCAACGCGCGCTCTCTCTCTCCCAAAAACTGTAACTAAGGTCTGATCAGCATAGTTGCAGTATAAACCTCAGGTTGGCTCTGTGGGTGTTGAAGAAACACAAATTGCGCCTGAGCAGGCGTCTGCAATGGAGAATAACTAGCCGCCCGAGTAGACTGGCATACTCGGATTCGAGTGGCTGTGCCACTTTTATGCTTGGATGTGCAGGTGGTGTAATGGATAACGGCTCGGAATTGGAAATCGGAAGAGCCGAGTTCAAATTCATGTTGGATTCACTTACGCGCAAATGCTCCTGGGAAATGTATAAATCCACCTATCCTCCCCAAGCTATGGGTTAATAGGAGTTATATCAGTAAATCGATATTATCACCCAAAAAAGCGCCTACTATGATGAAAAAATACACTAAACTACATAAAAAACAAAATTTTATAGTCAATCTTTGTTATTAAAAGGAAAGAATAATGTATTTTTTTTTGATTTATATATATATATATATATATATATATTATAGATATATATATATAATTTTGAACATTCTAAAAAAAAAAAAAAAAAAAATTATTTTTCTTACGTGAGCGGGAGGTCTATAAATTAGCATAGCAAATTTTTGGCATCGTTTTTGCGGTGAAAGACACATTGATTTGGAAAGTCTTACAACAGTCAAATAATTGTTGGATTGTAATTGAACTTTTAGGATTCATTCACAAATGATTTTTTTCCACATTTAATTTTAAGAAAATTGGAGAAAGTCAATGAGGTAATTTTTACTGACTATATTAGTTAAAAGCAGAAGTCCTTTTTTGTAAAATCGGACCCCGTATTACCGAAAATCTGTTCTGAATCGTAAAATAAAAAACGCAATTATGTGTTACGGATAAAGCCTCCGGAGAAGATTAGATAAACATCAATCTGCCATCAAGCTAACACATCAACAAATTAAAAAACTACCAACGTGTTAAAAAATGCATTACTGCAATATTTTAAACTTGAATAATATTTTACAGATTAATTATACATTAAATCAGCTAAGATTCCCCAAATAAAGTTTCAGAAAAGATCTTATTTTTGGAAGATTTTTTTAAAGAGGAGAATTACATTGCGATGAAAGATGACGCGAAATAGCGCTAATCAGGTATTTTAGCAAATATATATATATATATATATATATATATATATATATATATATATATATATCCTTCCAGTCAAGTTAAATTAGTTTTGAAATGCAGCTAAATATTTCGCATATTAGAAAACAAAAATAACAGCTTAAAAGAAAGGTTTTCATTTTAAAACTTAGGTACCGCGTTTTCTGTGGCGGCATCTAATCTAAAAATATTTCTTGGCTGTAAATAACCTACAACAGTTGGTAAGCCGTAAAAAACAAATCAACCAAAAACCGACTTCTTCAATACCTTTCTTTCCTTCTTTCCTCTGATTCTTTCTACCGAGATTAGCACAAAGTCAATTATTCTTGGCCTCGTTGTCTTCGAAGCAACTGTCCAAAATGGATCAAGTGACCTGCAATAAAACGTTACTCTTTGCTTCTTATCCTTCAACAAATTACCTCTCACTCTTTGCTTACATTCCCCCACTCTCCGCTTACTCGCCTCCCCATACTCCCTTTGTTCATAGGTGGTCAATCGAGGTTACATAATGAATGTTGAACAAAAGAGAAATAGAAAGAAAAATGCACACGTCTATTACTAGTCGTAATATCAAGAGTAACGTTCAACCGCGGCCACAGAGTTAAGTTACTTGATCGTAAGACAACATGATTACTGTAGTTAACAGGTACCCCCCCCTCCTGCCGTTGAAAAAAGTAAATAAATAAATAAAAAGCGATTAGTTCCTCTTCCTTCTATTCTAGCAGCAGGCAATCGCCAAAGTCACAACCAAATTACTAATGCGGTACTTCGTTCCTCGGTAAGTCTCTTGCTTTTTGCTTTCTTTACGGACTGTTTGGTGCATTACATGGCTGCCATTTTGACGTAACATCAACTGGAAAACATTGATCCACAAAAAGAAAGAAAAAATAAATAAAAAAAACAAAATAACCCATACTTTTTAAAATTAAGAAAGCACTGTTTCTCTCATCTTTGTTTAAAAAAAATAGTCGATGTAAGTTTTATTTATTAGGCTGAAGCATAGATAAAAATAAAGTATAATTACTTTTCATTTAATTTTCATTTAATTATTACCAGAATTATATATATATATATATATATATATATATATATATATATATATATATATATATATATATATATATATAAAACATTTATGGGAGACAGTTCACTTTCTTTGTTAAGATTCTTTAACTTTTACTATGTATTTGAACTATCTTTATATATATGTTATAAACACGACGGTCAAGTACCCTCTGGTCATCTTCGGGCACCTATTTTTGGGGGCTGATTTTCATTGCTGTTATTTCGTCCATATAATGCTATTTCCTGAACCAGAATATTATTTCAGTACTCAATCTATGAATTGAACTCACGACCACCACAGATGACAGTAACAAAACTAACTCCAATAATCACTTTGCCACCGCTCCGAAAAAAATATCAATGGCATGTTTTTCTTTTAAATTTTGGACGGGTTTGTTTGATAATTTTACTTTTGATTTTTTTTGAGATGAAGAACTGTCAATCTACTTTTAAGTCATTAGATTTATTTTAAATGTTGTTCTCACTTTTTTTTTATACATTATAGATACGATATCCCATATCAGGAAATATGGATACCTGAAGATGACCAGAAGGTCGAAACGTCGTGTTTACAACAACACCATTAATAGCATCTATAATAATCAATGACTAGAACAATAGTTCGAAGTAAAAGTATACTGACAGTTCATCTCAAAACTAGTGAGTGCTGGCCAACTATCTCGTCAGCTGTTTCAAGACAATCATTGTTTTCACCCCCCCCCATCATATATGAATTCTTTTTGAATCACTATCCAACTCACTGCCAGAGTATGATCTAAAATTTACTGTTTCTATTCAGTTTGTTGACCACATCTTTGTTGCGATGGTGATGAAAATAGGCCGAATGTATACTATAGTAACTCTTCTAGAAAAGCATAAAGAAATATGATCTAAAACGTTTCAAAAATACTGTAAAGTTGTTCGGAGATTATATATCTCCAAACAAATTTGATTAAATATAACTAACAAGGTCTGTTTAATTTTTTTTATTGTATGAAAACAGCATTAAATTCTAACATCGACTACACATGCACCACACAATCTCGTAGGTTGACTTGTCACCTCACAAAAATCAGTGCAATTCGTACAAGTCACTAATAGCCAAAATACAACTATCAACATAAGACAAATATTAGTGGGTCATACCAAATCACTCTACATTAGCCAATGCAAGAAAAGACTGAAAATCCTAGAATTTTTTCTTAATAATAATAATAATAATAATAATTCTTACACCACAGAAGAAAGTATCTTGAAGTTTGTATGAAATGCGTATAATAAAGTCTTTTTGTCGCAGTCTCACTCTCTTCAACTGTTACACATGACGTCACTGGACTATTTTAAACTTTCTAGAGAATACTAGGATGTTGCCTACAACCAACACACAACATGGTTCTTGAAAAAACATATGGTTGAATGTAATTTAAACAACGGAACATGAATATCGGACAGTTTATCCACAATTTCGATCCAGATGTACAATTTTAAAAAATACAATAAGAAAATTAAACAGAAAGACCTTGTCGACTGAACTTATATAGGGTAAATACTTGCTATATATATATATATATATATATATATATATAAGTGTGTGTGTGAAATAGGATATAGAATCCCGACAAAGTTTTTTGGCAAATGGAAAACGTTTCATTGCAACTAGGTGTCGCCTTTCTAGGCCTCATCAGATCCAAAAGCGATAGAAAGAAAACACGTGGACAGACCAGAAAACAAATCTTTCACTTTCAACTCATTCTGAAGGATTGGATGAGGATTTACCTTGAATCATTTCAGAAAAGGCTATATGTATATCTTGATTTCGCGCCACTATGAAAATTAGATGAGGATTTACTTTAATTCGATAAAAAAGAAAGTCAGGGATATTAACAACATTCGACATGAAGTAAGAATTATAAAGAAAAGATACAGAATAAATATTAAGGTTTCTTTTTGATTTTTTAAAGTCAATCATTTTCTTTCTTTAACCACGAGATTAGGAGAAAATTAATTATGATTCATTATTTAAGCATTCACACAAAAACATTACTTTCTTTCGTTTTCGGATCTGATGAAGCCTTGATAGGCGAAACGCGTAATGAAATCTAGTGAAGCGTTTTCCACATATATATATATATACACACACATACAGATACACACACACACATACACACACAGATACACACACACATACACACACACAGATACAGATACACACAGAGATAGATACATACACAGATAGATAGATACACAGATAGATACACAGATACATACACAGATAGATACAGATACATACACAGATACATACACAGATAGATACACAGATACATACACAGATAGATACAGATACATAGATAGATACACAGATAGATACACAGATACATACACAGATAGATACACAGATACATACACAGATAGATACACAGATACATAGATAGATAGATACACAGATACATACACAGATAGATACACAGATAGATACATACACAGATAGATACATACACAGATAGATACACAGATACATAGATAGATAGATACACAGATAGATACATACACAGATAGATACATACACAGATAGATACACAGATACATAGATAGATACATACACACACAGATAGATACACAGATACATGGACAGATAGATACATACACGGACACATAGATGAGATGGATACACAGATAGATACATACATACACAGATAGATGGATGGATGCACAGATAGATACACAGATACATAGATAGATAGATACACAGATAGATACATACACAGATAGATACACAGATACATAGATAGATAGATACACAGATAGATACACAGATACATAGATAGATAGATACACAGATAGATACATACACAGATAGATACACAGATACATAGATAGATAGATACACAGATAGATACATACACAGATAGATACACAGATACATAGATAGATAGATACATAGATAGATAGATACACAGATACATAGATAGATAGATGCACAGACATGATAGATACACACACAGATGCATAGATGAATAGATGCATAGATACATAGATAGATAGACAGATACATAGATAGATGGATGCATAGATAGATGGATGGACACGGACACATAGATGGATACATACACATGGACACATGGATAGATGGACACACATGCACGGATGGATGCACATGTGGATGCATGCACGGATGGATGCACATATAGATAGATACATACACAGATAGATACACATATAGATAGATACATACACAGATAGATACACATATAGATAGATACATACACAGATAGATACACATATAGATAGATACATACACAGATAGATACATAGATAGATACATACACAGACATACACACATACATACACACACATACACAGATAGATACACATAGATAGATACATACACAGATAGATACACATATAGATAGATACACACACACATACATACATACATACATACATACATACATACATACATACATACATACATACTTTCTTTATTGGCACAGTCGTTTTTAAATGCAAGGATGTTTACAAAGGCGTCGAAATCAGTTACCAGTAGCAAGCATAAATATCGTCAACTTCAATTTGGAAAATTGGAATTGGGGCAATATTTTCATTACAACTTAATGACATTTCCGGTCATGTCAGTATATGACGTCATGTTTGCACCATATCTCGTTAAATCAGGAGTTAATCCAAATCTACAGGTTCTTCTTCTAACAGCCTTTAGTAATTCTGTCCCTCTTTTGGGGGTGGAAAGAAAGCAATTAAATACAGTTTACGTTAAAATAAGGAAATGGATGCCATATACTTTTGGCCTAGCACCACATCTAAGCTACGCTTAGAAAAACCACCATATTGGAGGTTCCTTGTTTTTAAAGAGAAAAGAATGGTTTAGGATGTGTGGTCAATGCAACATCTTCTCTTTCTATACCCTAGAGACCATTCTGCAATGGTAGGTTGGATTTCTTTGAGTTTGTTTTTATGTGCACTTGTTCCAGGATTATTGACATTTGTTGGTGATGGATTTTCATATGGTTTCTTTTAAGCCTGTGCCAGGAATTTTAATGTCGCATGTGCTGATGTATAGGGCTTTTTGGCTCTTATCTGTCCTTTCATTCCCATATTTGCTGTAATTAAGAAATGAAATAACTCAAGCTAAACGTGGAATCGGTATAATTGCAGTCATATGGCATGTTCGTGGTCAAGAATAGTAAAAGAAATTATGCATGCTGGATTTAAATAAGTCACCGTCAAAACAAAACAGTTTTCATTTAAGTAATCTTTTTTCTCTCTCTCTTAAATCCGAGGTCTTTTTCAAAAAATAGACAGCCATAGCTCTCCAAATCAAGTTTCCTTATCTATGAATTGCCAGGAATTCTTGGGAAAGATCTATTTGCCATTTCTCTTCAGGATCTAGTTGATCAAAGCCCTCCACATCATTCTGTCCTTTGTAGCTCTTAAATTTGTTATCCCAAACCCTGCTCTGCCATCCATTTGCTTAAACCCATCAAGTATATCATGCGGTGCTTTCTTGTCCGTGTTTCCTGTGAGTATCAGATTTTCCAAACCTTCCCTCCTTATCACGTGCTCCAAAAATGTCAACCCCCTCTTCCTGATGTTAAGTATAAGTTTCCTTTTTGTTACCATTTTCTCCAAAACCTTGTCGTTGCTCACATGTTCGGTCGTTGGTATCCCCAGCACCCCACTATAGAACCACATTTCTGTCCCTTCAAGTCTTCATCTTTGAGATTGTCCAACATAGTAGAACCTTACGCGGGAGATGAGTAAAGTAACACTAGTGTTCAAATCGTGCACATAACAGTAAGTTCACGTGGGAAACGTTAGAATCGATATTAGAAGAGTTGGTAATCTGAGGTTAGCCTTGGAACAATACAAATCATGGTAGTGGTTTCAAGACTGTCAAGACGCAGTGAATAGGGAGAAATTCTTGACAAATGTCCGGATTAATTAATCAATCTGATCAAGGATCCATTGCATTATGTGTCGATGTATATGTCTTGAATTTTGGGCTCAATTTTCTTCTCTACATTCTATGTCAACAAATATTTTAAATTAGCTCACATTGACATCCGGATTAACAGCAGCAGCATCATCATCATCAAAACTGTTTTGGTTTGAGGTCATGAATTAACATGTTCTTTCATCTTCAGTGACATTGTATATAGATTCGACAAGATTTTGTCAGCCTTTTCTGTCCTCTGCGAGTCGGCGGATTCGTTGCAGATCTTCCTTGATTGTAAACTTCTCCAAAGAAAAAGTGGTATCTTTCTGCCTTGTTCTTTGAATGTCTCGGTTCAGTATTGTGACTATAGCGGTTCTTGGATGACCTCTGAACTTTTTGAAGTTTTCATCTTGCCTTTAAAATGAACAAAGACAAATGGGATTCTGCTGTACAAGTTCTTGTTAAAATATTAGATCATGACGTTGGAAGTTCAGTAGCATTTTCCGAATATTGTCTTTCTCAGTATGCAACGTCTTAAGTAGTTACTACTTAGCAGTAACTGGAGCAGCCATTACCTACTCCGCCATATTGACAACATTTGGCCTGAAATATTTTAGCTAATTCTGTTTAATCATTACGTCATTCTATATTAATATTTTTCTTATTAAATAACACTTTCGTTCAAGATGAAAAAAAAAAAAAAAAAAAAAAAAAACAAAACAAAAAAAACAGCTAATTTTATGTCCATGCCACTCCTGGAATTATCACCTTTTTATTTTTTATATTTTTAAACTTGAAGTGTCCTGGAGGGTGATATGTCTAACCGAAAATGAGTCATCTATAATTCTCAAAATGTGTGTGTGTGTGTGATCGGATGTTGTTTATTCGTTTCCAGTTTTTATCCATTTCGATGAAATTTTTTTTCTGTTTGATAGATAAATCTTCAGTGTCAGTTTTGAGTCCAAATTAGCTGCAAGAAAAAAAATTACAACCTTGAAGCTGAAAAATAAAAGATTTTTTACACTTGCGCAAAAATCAAAAACAAAATCTAATGTCTGTAAAAAACAGCGTATAATCAATTTAGAGAGTTAAAATCTAACGCAAAACATTATTAGAATTATAAAAAAAAGTTATAAATAAAAATTATCGTATATTATTATGACGGTCCATGGAAGAGGTTTCTTTCTTGCAAGATTAAGAACGCAAAAACGGACCTTTTCAGGGCTACCCCCTATTCAAATTGTTACCCCGCCCAAATTTAGGGATGTGTCTCAGTTGCACCCAATTGTTGTTACTAATATTGATTTTCGGGTGGGATGACTTTAAACTTAAACTGCTCCAATTGAACGGCAAAAATTCCCAGTAATGAAACATCCGGTCGAAGACGGGTTATCCTGCTAGTTTAAAAAAAAAAAGTTACTTTTTGTTGTTGTTTTTTTTTTAAGGGTTGGAAATCTGAGATAGGTTTGGGTCAATACAAATCATGGTAGGGATTTCAAGAGACACTGGAAATAGTGACAAACTCCACAGGTGTACGGATTAATTAATCAATCTGATCAAATTCCTCGAACACCTCATCCGGTATAACTAGAATTTCCAAAGCGGTACTGACACAAAGGGGGCCGGTTCAAAGATCCAGCAGGCGGCGAGAAAACAAAAATAAGGCGATGATTCAAAAAGAGAGGTAGGTAGAAGACCAAAGTAATAACTTTTGTTTTGTTTTTAACAAAATCTATAGGACGAAAGTCGATTCCATTGCATTCACTTACGTGCTAATAACCTTCGGAAAAGGTATGAATTCTTTTTCTCCCCCCAGCTATGGGTAAATAGCAGGACAGACCGGTTTCTATAGCCTTGGATAGCAGCTGGTCTACCGCAGAAAAAAAATGACAACCTAGTGCAGGGAAAAATCTGCCTCGTCAGTCATGTATTGAAAGATACATGATCGCCTAAGCGTGTATCACGCATGGCACATTGTGACTGACTAGGACTGATAGGAAGAAAAGGAGACACTGTGGAATAATGGATAGCGGCTCGAGTTGAGAAATCGGAGAGAGAGAGTTCGAATTCCAGTCGAATCCATTATAGTCACTTACGCGCTAATACCCTTGGAGAGATATGAATACTCTTCTCCTCTCAGCAAGGGGCAAATAGCAGGAAAGATCTATAGCTTTAGATGGCGACTGGTCTACCAGTTTTCTGCGAGAAAGATACATGATCGTCTACATCGACGCATGGGATATAACTGACTGACTCACACTAAACGAATGTCGTTAGATTTACAGTTACTTGCATCATGGTGACGTTATCCAGACCAGACACCTGTTGTGGATATACGGGGATATTGGTATGGTGCTAAATAAGTTGTTTTGAATATACAGTATACTTTTTCTTTATATGGGTATGGTAGGAGGCGCTTGGGGTGGAAGGCAGGCGAGGTGGTTTGTGATCCACTGCACTAAATATGTGTCGATGCATGTGTATTGAATTTTGGGCTCAGTTTTTTTTCTTTACATTCTATGTCAACAAATATTTTAAATTAGCTCACATCGACATCCGGGTTGACAGCATTTGGCGGGAGACAACGCCTGAAATATCCGAGCTAATTCTGTTTAATCATTACGTCATTCTGTATTAATATTATTTTTCTCCTTAAATAAAACTTTCGTTTAAGATGAAAAAACTGACAATATTATGCTCATGCCACTCCCCGACTTATCACCCTTTTTATTTTTTTATATTTTTAAACTTGGAGTGTCCCCGAGGGTGATATGTCCAACCGAAAATGAGTCATTTTAAAAAAAACAAGTTACTTTTTTGTTCTGTTAAGGTTATTAACTCTTTCATTGATGGAAATTAAGTCCCAAACAGAGATCAACAATTAGCAAATTTGTCTTGCAGACGAACTCGCTAGGCTAGAAAAATAGAGTTTCTCGGACCAACCCACTTGTTAATATCTGACCAAATAACCGAAACATTAGAAGTTTTATTTGTTTATTTATCCAATCTTTGGTCGGGATAAAAAAATAAAAATAAATAAAAATATTCAGTATCTCATTGCAATTCGGCCTGATTTTTCTCCTAACCACCATTAGAGTTATTTCTAACAATACCATTACGGTACTTCCGGTCTAGTGAAGTTATTTACTAAACATTTAATATCCGTTCAGTTTAAATATCAGGTGGGTGGGAGGGATATCTGAAAATAACTACTCGATAAAGAAAAGGTAAAAAGACAAGAAGAAGAAGGGGTAAAAAGACAAGAGAAAGTAAAAGACAAGACAAAAGAAGAGAAGAAAGGGGTAAAAGACAAGAAGAAAGGGGAAAAAGGGGTAAAAAGACAAGAGAAGAAAGGTAAAAAGACAAAGGGA